GTGTGTGTGTGTGTGTGTGTGTGTGTGTGTGGGTGTGTGTGTGTGTCTGTGTAACAGACAGTAGTTCCTAACTTTAAATCATGCTGCAGGAGAGTAAAAAAACACCCAAATCTAGTTCTGTAACCAGAAAAAAGAATTAAAGGCAGATTACTACTTCTGATATAACTGTAGAGGATTATTTTGAATATTTCAGTGCTCTTTGAATGATTACTTTTTATTTAATGTGTTACCATGAGAACACTTACAGTTTTGAATAGTTTAGTTCAAGTGTACAGTCCACATAATGATCATTTTTCGAATCCAGTAATGTCAGTGTAAGTGTGCATTTTAATATACGGTAATAACCCAGTAAGTGTGGCTCAGCTTTTCACCAGCTTTGACTGCAACACTTTATGTGTGAATCTATGGTGGTAAGAAAGTCTCAAAAATCACTAACAGTTGAGATAATTTGCGCTCGCTCAAATTTTTTTAGGCTAATTTAACTCCGTATGTTCCGGACACTATTATCCCAAAATGCAACTCATGAGAAGAGAAATATAAAACCTTCAGCCTAGTTTCTTTGATTTTGTTTTCAAATGTTTGTAAAATTGCCACAATGCTATAAACACTGACACAGGGGTATCAAACTTATTTTCACTGAGGTCCACATGAGCTTTATGGTGGCCCTCAAAGGGTCAGTTGTAATTAACTTCAATGTTTAATGTTTAATTATGACTAAGAACAAAACATGTCCTCCTTGTCTCATTGCTACAATTGAGCACCAATAACAAACAATAACAGAGCTCTACGTGGTATTTCCTGCATAGAAACAGCATATTAACACATCCTTTTATAAACACTGAAAAGTACGAAGTGCAAGACTGATTAAATGTGAAACAAATAATACAGAAATACTTTAAAAGTAAACAAATGAGGGTTTTACTCCCAATTTTTGACAGGACATTCCCACTGGAGTGGTGTTCCAGTTTAAATTCATGACTTGTAAGTGGGGAAATTCCCACTTCCCAGTACATCAGGGCTGCATTAAAAGCAGCTAGTGATTAATGCAGTGAGATTTTACACAGCGTATTCTGAACCCTGTGCACTTCCTAGTGGTGGGATGTCTTTGTTTTGCAGATAAAATAATTTACATTCACTGAAGATGTAGTTTATGTTTTTAAAGCAGCATGCGCATATTTTAAGACATTAAAGCATCTCTGAAGCTCTTGTGGGCCGAATAAAATGCTGTGGTGGCCCAATGTAATATGTGAGCCTTGAGTTTTATACATAACCTATAGCAGAGATTCTTAACCTGTGGGCCGCGAGCGCCACCTTGAGGGCCTCAAAAGAACAACAGTTTAACTTTGAGCCTCAGAGGGCCGCGGGACCGCATTGATTTTGAATAAGGTGCAATACACTTTCTCACCACTAGTAACGGTAGAGCGCCACTCAGATGTTTAACAACTTTTTTAATACGTAGAAGAAGAACCTTAGAAACCTGCTGAAAATGGAAACCTATTTTAAAAGAAAAGTAGAAGCAAAAATGAAAGTAACTCATCAAAAAACACCAAAGCTTCTGGTTCTGTCATGCAGTATTTTAAAAGTTCCAAACATTGTCAAATACAGTTGCAGATTGAGCTATATTTTAATTTGCACTTTATTAAATTTTTTTGTAGTTTTTTATTTTTTATGTTTTTAATGTATTTTAAAGAAAYTTTAAACTTGTCAAAAAGCTGTTGTTACTCTTATTGTTTGTCACTAATATGAAG